CCCAGGCTGGGTCTGGCCATGCCCAGCCCCAGGGCTGTGTCCCTCAAGGCGGGGGCATGTCTGGGGCCTGGATAGGATCACGATCCATGGGGAGAGGGTGAATGAGTCCAGGAAGGTGTTGGGGTGTCACAGGGAGGGGGCAACGAGGCAGGATCAGGGCAGAGCCACAGGTAAAGAGCTCCCACAGGTCCTGGATGCTGAGGGTCCGGCTGCTGGATACAATTTCCCCCTGATGTGGGGGGCACTTACGGGCAGTCTCGAACAGCTCGGGCAGCTCCGTGCTCAGCTTCTTCATGGCAATGTCTGCGATGGGGCCCAGGATCACCACCGGCCGCTTGAAGCTGGCTGTGGGGAGAAGCCGGACAGGCTCAGGGAGGATGGGGGCAAGGGCAGAACTCACAGCATCCAGGCGTCCAGCCCTGCTCCTCAAGGTGCCCGTAGGGCTGGGACTCAGCCCGCTACTCCCAGGAGAGCGGAGCCCACTAACACCAGCAGCGGGGCAGCCCTGGGGCTGAAGTCCCCTGGGTGCATCTGGGCAATGGGGACACAGCCCTGGTGCCCACCTTCCTTCAGGACCACCTTCTCATATGGCGGGTAGCGGCCCTGCTTTGTAAGGGCAGACAGGTCCTCCCGGCTCTTCCGCAGCATCTTCTTGGCTCCCCGCAGGCCCCGCAGCTTCCAAAACTCAGCTCGTGCCCCAGAGGGGTTAGCACCAGATGTGGCTTTCAGCACCGGCTCCAGGCTGGCGATCTGCTCGGCCCTGGGAGGGGAAAGGGCTCAAGACCTGGAGCCTCTGGATTTCCCCCTGCTTTGTCTCTCTGGGCTTGGAGTGGCGTGGCCAGATAAGGCTGTGGTAGCCTCTTCCCTCTGGGACTTTGGATGAGAGCATCAACTGCCCCACCACCCCTGAGGAGGGATTTCACCGGCTCACACTTCTACCAGCCCTTGCCCTGTCTCTTACTGGGACTACCATCCATGTCCTTGTCTCACTGGGGAGCCATCCCCTGGCTCTGCTCATCTTGGGGCCATTCCTGGCTCCATCCCTACCTGCTCCGGTTGGGGATGACGCCCTTGTCCTGCTCCTGCAGGTCCTTGCCCACGCGCACAGCCAGCCAGCTCCCCAGCCTGCCCCGGTACATGGTGTCCAGCACGTGGAAGACATCCCCACGGGTGAAGCTGAGCCCCGACGGTGTGTCCTTCTCGAAGTCAAAGTGTGTCCGGATGTAGAATGAGTCGCCCACATTGGACGAGATCATCTTCCTGTAAACTGGAGCCCAGGGTGAGAGGGACCATCAGGGGAAGAGGCGGTTGAGGAGGAAGATGCTGGAGAGGAAGGTGCCAGAGGGATTTGGGAAGGAGCTGGGCTGGCTGGGAGCCTCCGCAGTAGTGCTCGCTGCGAAGGAGGGCGTTGGGGACACCTTTTCCTCCCATGGCACTCTCAGGCATGCTGGGAACAGCAGGACCTGACCCCCCCCCAGCACACACTGGCCTCTCTAGGCTGAGCCACGGTGCCAGAAAGCCCCCACGCTCCCCAGGATGCCAAGGTACAAAAAGGGCTGGGATGGTCTGGTCTCCTCCCATCATCTCTCTGGAATAGGAGGAGGGGAGTGTGGGAAAGAAGGGCCGCCCCGCGGGGGCACCGTGGCAAGCCCAGCATCTCTGATGCTTGCTCAGAAAAGACAGAGGAAGGAAAGGCACAAGCCCAGGATGAGTCCAGTCATCACTCACTGTCCTGCTTGCTCTGGGTCCACAGCGTGATGTCCTCGCCCGGCGGCAGGCTCATGAGATACTCCACGGCCTCCTCACGGGTCAGATTCTGGAAACTGGTGTCATTCACCTGACGCAGAAAAGCACTTGGACACGGCCCTGCCGGTGGGATGGAGGGCACGGGTACCAGCAGGGGTCCCAGGGACAGCAGTGCCCAGGGCTGGGTGGGAGAGGTAACTGGTCCCTGTCACCCAAGTGCCTGCCACAACCCCTAGCAGCCCTGGGGGGGGCCTCTGGGCCAGCTGAGGTGGTGCCTGCGCCCTGTTGGGTGTTAGCATGGTGCCAAAGACAGGACTGTCCCCTCAGGCAGTGCCCGCAGGGCCAGCCCAATGGGTACGTATGGGCCACGGGCATCAGCACTGACCCAAAATGATGCCCAGCAGGAGAAATCCAAACCCTGGGGGGGGTCAGACCCAAGAGGGATGGGGCCTGCTGGGTGCAGCAGCATTTGGAGCCGTTCCCAGCCCCAGGTACCTGCAGGATCTGGTCCCCTTCCCGGATGCCCTGGCTGTCAGCTGGGCTCCCCTCCTGCACGCTCGACACAAAGATGCCCACGTCGTTCCCACCAGCCAAGCGCAGGCCGACGCTCTGGGCCTTCACAAACTGCACGACCCTGGAGTCGGCGCTGTACCTGCCGCGGCAGAAGCTGCTGTCAGCCTGGCGGTGACATGCCGGGGACAGCACAGGGGGTCACTGCTCTGTCACCCCAACTCTGTGCCAGAGCAGCTCCCCATCTCTCCCAGCCCTTCACCACTGCCTTTCGCAGACGTACCCGGCCTTGCAGGCAGCCCGGGCAGCGGGGCTGGTGTGGGGGCCATCCCCCTCCACAGCTTCCAGCAGGTCTGTGGGTAAGGAGGGCTGGTAGAGGAGGCAGCGGTGGCTGTGCCAAGGCACTGGGAGACCTGGCACGGCTCTGCCAGGGGGGTTCAGAGAGCAGAGACACACAGAGGCCCAGAGCCCACTCAGTGCCCTTAGCTCCCCCGGCCTGATCTGCGCTCACTCACCGGGGCCCTGAGCAGTGTCCACGATCGTGTCGGCCGCA